TAATCATACATGAGGGCCAATTTGTCATGACGTTATAAATAACAAAACTTGCCTAATCTAAGAAACAAACCTGTTCTCTATCCATGTAAGAAACCAACCAGCAGCGATAATTTCATGCACGATAGTTCATCTTTGATCTCTGCATAGATAGCAAGGCAGAAAAAGTTTAGAGTAGCGATCAATAGCACACACGCCCAAGAATTAGTAAACCAGAGCTGTGTTCAAAACCACTTGTATGGAGTGAAAAATGAAAGTCTAACAATACATGCATACACCTAGTCATGTCTGGAAAAATCCCACAATCAAATATGAAATTAATAAACTTCAAAGATGATGCTTTCTTTTTCCCCTTTTCTTTTCCAATTTTTAAAATTTCGTAATGCAATTGTCACGGAAAAGTATGCTTCTTTAGTATTAGAAGTTGTAAACCTTCATGAATCACTACTATGCAGTTCTTGAAATTAATATAAACCTCTGCTATCTTCTCCACCAGGTCAGATTCTTCCCTCAAAATCTCTTGCAAAGTTGTAAGATTTCTGGCCATATTCTTGATCACCCACCTCCTGCCAAAAAACGAAGGAAAAATGCATAGAACAAGTTAACTCATGCAGTTCAGCAGATAAACAACACTGGAAGAGAATCAACTAGTACTTCAAGAATATTACCTATGGCTCCATGCTTGCTCGCTCTTGGTTGAATACGAAAGGACAAGGGCAGATAAGCGGTGCTCTTCTGTGAACATCGACGCTTGTTTCTTATTTGATAAGATTAACTTTCTGGTATTTGCATCAAGAATAGTGATTCATAAAAATAAAATAAAAACAAGAACAGAGAGGCACATTGGGCATAAACAAGCTGCAACTATAGGGTTTATAAAACAGGTGCGAATCTATCATTTCCGGATCATAATGATTCAAATCAACCAGACTCGTATAAATATAGAAATTTTCAAATTGGTTACCTGGAATTCCAAGCAGTCCCGAAATCAGAGTTTAACAACAAAAGTGTTTTGCTGCATTTCATAACAACAATTCCTAGAGCTTCAGCAGAAGGAAGAGATAGGTCGCCGAGTTTCTTGTATTCTGCAATTGCATTCATGAATTGTTCTCTGGCAGCCTTGTACAATCGGAGAACAACCTCCGAAGAAATGCCCAGTTTGTGATCTCGAATCCAGAAGCTCCCATCTCCACCATCCAGCGCATCCGAGGCTTTCAATCGTGAGCTACCAGATTCAGAATCTTTCTCCAATGTCGCAAATTGCGAAGGGTGAATGAACCCTACTTCGTTGCTGAGCACGAAGGAGCACCAAAGCAGCCAAAAAACAAAATTGAACATAAGGTTGAGCGAATATATTGAACAAAGGGAAAACTTCCTGAATCGAATTTGATGACAATGCTTACATGAGGGGATCAGAATCGAGAATGTATTTGAATTGATTCAACAATTATGACATGGCTTCACTCTAAATAGTACCTTCAGGGTTCATTCACGACAATCATTAGTGAGAATGAAATTAGTTACACTACGGCAACAGGGAAGATCAATGGCTCTAATGAACGTTGGGAAAGATGGGAAAATATATCAACTACTCATATTGATTATACACACTACACAGTACTATTTGTGCCATATATTTTCCATTTTGACTAGGGAACAAAGTTAACACTCCAATACTATAAACGCAATAAATTTCAGATTTCAAAACCCACAAATCAACCATGAGTCTAATAAAAATCGCAAGCAGTTACAGCGGTTTATAGATGTCAACAGTTGCAGTTACCATCTTCATTACACCAAATTAATTCCATTTACTACTTAGATCATGCAAGAGAAATATACTTAATTTTCATAGATTTAAACTAAATACAATCAAAACTGCATATATCATCAAAGCACATAGGTGCATGGTTTTTGTTTTGGTTAAAACCTAGTCTGTTTTTTAAACTTTGGCCTATCAAATCCAAAACCCAGAATCTGCCGAAACCAAAACTTGATTAGCAAGCAACGAAAGATCACCGATTAAAGCCTAAAACACCAAGACCATTTTCCATAAATTCGGATGTACAAATTAATTTTTTTTATAGTTAACCTTCTTAGTTAATTAAACCAATCAAGGTTAAGAGGAACCTCAACGAAGGTCAACCATTTTCCTAATCCATATCCTATCCCAAAGGTCAAGAAAAAAGCCTGCTTCCTCCTGCAAGTCGGTATCAGCCACCTCTTCAAAGGGCCACTCAAGGCTCACCACACAACAAGCTGCAACAAAAAGAAGTAAAACCAAATTCAGGCACAAATCATGGCTGCTACCTCCTGAGAAGAGTAGGACGGCCACCTTTGTATTTTGGCTGCACAAATCAAGGCACAAATCTAGCTTCCATCAACATTTTCTCGTTTTAAACAAACTCATGTAAACATACCTTTACTAACCTGATCTACATATGCTTTGCTAACATATCTTAGTAATGATTTAGATGTGAATCACCTTTGTATTTTGCACTCA